GACACCACAACCAAAGACAACACAACCAAAGACAACACAACCAAATCAAGACACCACAACCAAAGACAACACAACCAAATCAAGACACCACAACCAAAGACAACACAACCAAATCAAGACACCACAACCAAAGACAACACAACCAAAGACAACACAACCAAATCAAGACACCACAACCAAAGACAACACAACCAAAGACAACACAACCAAATCAAGACACCACAACCAAAGACAACACAACCAAATCAAGACACCACAACCAAAGACAACACAACCAAATCAAGACACCACAACCAAAGACAACACAACCAAAGACAACACAACCAAATCAAGACAACACAACCAAAGACAACACAACCAAATCAAGACACCACAACCAAAGACAACACAACCAAATCAAGGCACCACAACCAAAGACAACACAACCAAAGACAACACAACCAAATCAAGACACCACAATCAAAGACAACACAACCAAATCAAGACAACATAATCAAATCAAGACACCACAACCAAATCAAGACACTACAACCAAATCAAGACACCACAACCAAAGACAGCACAACCAAATCAAGACACCACAACCAAAGACAGCACAACCAAATCAAGACACCACAACCAAAGACAGCACAACCAAATCAAGACACCACAACCAAAGACAACACAACCAAATCAAGACACCACAACCAAAGACAACACAACCAAATCAAGACACCACAACCAAATCAAGACACCACAACCAAATCAAGACACCACAAACAAATCAAGACACCACAACCAAATCAAGACAACATAACCAAATCAAGACAACATAACCAAATCAAGACACCACAACCAAATCAAGACAACATAACCAAATCAAGACAACATAACCAAATCAAGACACCACAACCAAATCAAGACACCACAGCCAAATCAAGACATCACAACCAAAGACACCACAACCAAATCAAGACAACATAAACTAATTATTATTGATGATGATGGTAATGATGATGATTTTTTGTTTGATAACCATGAATTTAAGATGGTTTCTATACTGATTGAGCTCCCAAGAACAGCTGTCAATGTTGTGCTTTGCCTCTGTGCACTGCCTGTAAGCATTAGTGTCCGATCTGACTTAAAGCTGTTCATTTGCACTTACTGACATCGTTTTTCTCCTCTCTAGATCCTCGCTTTTGTTTTACTTAATCTCTAATGTACGTTGCTTTGGATAAAAGTGTCTGCTAAATAAATTGTAGAATTGTAGAAATACATTCAACACAATCAAATACAGCAAAATAAAGGCAAGGCAAAAAAAGTAGACAATACTGACACAATAACCACATGCAGCCAATACATCAAAATGCAAGGAAAAGGCATTAACATCTACAGGCAATCTAGCCACAGACAATAGAACATAGCTTAATGTATTTTTAAACAAAAAAGTTGTGTGTTTGGTTATATGTTGTCATTTGTCTTAGAATAGATTATATAAATGGAGAATCTGAAGGGGGCTATTATCTTTGGAGGCAGGGCAATGTTGATCAGACGCTAAATGCTCATCAGACTAAAGCCAGTGGGTGTACAATTGATTTTGATGCCCGCGTAAGGTTTTTCCATCTGCAATCTTTTCTATTGATGATCTAGTTATGGTGTCTTGATTTGGTTGTGATGTCTTGATTTGGTCGTGTTGTCTTGATTTAGTTGTGGTGTCCTGATTTGGTTGTGGTGTCTTGATTAGTTTGTGATGTCTTGATTTGGTTGTGTTGTCTTGATTTGGTTGTGTTGTCTTGATTTAGTTGTGTTGTCTTGATTTGTTTGTGATGTCTTGATTTGGTTGTGATGTCTTGGTTTGGTTGTGTTGTCTTGATTTGGTTGTGTTGTCTTGATTTAGTTGTGTTGTCTTGATTTGTTTGTGATGTCTTGATTTGGTTGTGATGTCTTGATTTGGTTGTGTTGTCTTGATTTGGTTGTGTTGTCTTGATTTAGTTGTGTTGTCTTGATTTGTTTGTGATGTCTTGATTTGGTTGTGATGTCTTGGTTTGGTTGTGATGTCTTGATTTGGTTGTGTTGTCTTGATTTGTTTGTGATGTCTTGATTTGGTTGTGATGTCTTGATTTGGTTGTGTTGTCTTGATTTGTTTGTGATGTCTTGATTTGTTTGTGATGTCTTGATTTGGTTGTGTTGTCTTGATTTGTTTGTGATGTCTTGATTTGTTTGTGATGTCTTGATTTGTTTGTGATGTCTTGATTTGTTTGTGATGTCTTGATTTGTTTGTGATGTCTTGATTTGGTTGTGTTGTCTTGATTTGGTTGTGTTGTCTTGATTTGTTTGTGATGTCTTGATTTGTTTGTGATGTCTTGATTTGGTTGTGATGTCTTGATTTTTTTGTGATGTTTGGTTGGTTGACTTTGTTGATGGTTATTTTCTGCAGCAATTGTTTTCTTAAAGCTCCTGTGAGATAAGAGGTCAAACTTTGTCTCCAGGGGATGCTTAGTGTGACACAAAGGTTTGTAGTTGCAAGGTGTTAAGCTCTCAGGTTCACAGTCATTTTTTCTAAAAGTGGAAATCATCCTTTGTAATTAAAATCAAATGTCATTATATATAATGAGGTAAAATAAATGTATAAAGAAGTTTTTTATAAACATGTCTGCATGATTGTTATCCTAATTTACCTTACACACATTTACGCCATCATAAGAATTGTTTTGTATCCCAGCTTCATTGGTTGCCTGATAAATCATTCAACAAAAATAGCTATTGTAGCGTTTTTAAATGCTTTATCATACTTAGGGTATTATAAACACTATCCCTTCATCCAGTGTATCCTCTGGAGTAACTAGGGTTCATCTTAAAAGCAGGAGATATGGTGACTACACACCATCTTTATATGACTGAAATACATTAAAAAAACTACAACAGGCTGTATAGCCGATAAACAAATAGACTATATGAAGTATATTTAATTTCTAAGAACTCAAGGTTATATATATCAATACTGTTTTTTAATTAATTCATTAATATTTCACAACTGATGGCAAGACAATGCTTTAATTTTTTAGAATGAAATAGAAACAATGTCATAGGTGACAATATTGTTGAAAGCAGCGGGTTGACTCTGAGTGTCATCATATAAATCATATGTAAGATAGAAAATATGAGACAAAATGTATTAGGAATAACTATAAAATGTTTCATTATATATATATATATTACAGAATACAATTATATTGTGTGTTGTTGTTAAGTCTTAATCTATTGTTTGTGGCCACCTCCTCCCACATACACATCCATAGGGCCCCATTGTACCAGGTCGCCCTGAAATCCTGGCTGCACTAGTTTCCTGTCAGGGGCTGGTGACAGCATAGGGTCAAGTGAAAAGTCAAATAACTTGTTTTTATGTTGAGATAACAGTCTACAGAAGATACAAATGACATATTTTAATGTTTGGTGTCCTTACTTAAAAAATGACAGACTTTGATATACAGACCTTTTGAATTTTTGTTTCAATTTTCAATTTCCGCCTAAACTACATGTGTGTTTAAGTGTGAAAAATTCAAAAATTGAAAATGGTATTGATAAAAACTTTGCATAATTGTAACTAATAACTATCTGTGAACATCCTGTCCAAATGTGGTGAAGTTCTGATTCTGATTCCCAGAGATACATGTGATAAGGCTAGAGCTGTCCCTTTTGGAGAAGCCCTAATTTGACCTATTTTCGTTTTTTGGTAAGATGCATAAAACATCCAAAAAAAGTTATTTTGCAGTAAAATATTTTTATACAACAATCCGTTTCATAAACTAGACATGTTCAAGTTATGAAAAAATATGGTCGTGCTTTGTTCTACCTCGGGTAGGGGTCTCTCAACTTTAGGGGCCCAATTTCCTCTACTAAAGGTAAAGATTTAATGGATGTGGAATAATAATCAGAAGATTGATGATGTAGACACTTTACTTTTTCTGTGCATCTGACACCTAAAAATACATTCTTCCAAAATAAAACACCATGTCATGAATGAAATCACCAGAACTCCTTTACTGTTCGGCATTACCAAAATAAAAGCACCAGAGTTTCAGGACATTTATTACAAGAACTACAATCTACCTCTGTTTCTGTCTGAAATAAATCATTTACAGGTAGGTAAGATTCATGGATGAGTTCAGTAGAAATGTCCTCAGTTACATGGGGAGATAAAACAGACTCACCTTGCTGTGACGCAGCACTTTCACTTGAAGACATCCTCAGAGGAGACACCAACCTGCCGGTTTGTCGGTGACTCAAATATTAGCAGGATGCTCAGGAGGAGGAGGAGGTTTGAGTGTTAAATCTGTGCCTTAGATAAGGTGAGGTGAGGTGTGCACCGACACCAAACTGCAGAGAAACAGCTCGTCAGCTCGGCTGCAAAACATGACAGTGCAGATTCTCCACAGGACGATTAAAACACTGAAATGAGAAAATCAGAGAGAAGTTATCATTTAAAAAAGTCCACCACCTCAAAGAACACTTCAATGAAACTGCTAGTTAGTTTTTTTATGGCGGAAAAAAGCTGAAGTTACCTTTGGAGCTCGTGAGAGTCCAAATCAGCTGCATTCAGACCAAGGCGTGTAGTTCAACATTATGACCACTAGAGGGCAGTAAACGGCCATACTTGTATTTTACGTTATCTCACGTTAACTGTGACTTTAGACAAACACAGTTCTTCACATGAATGAATACTAAATGAAATAATAACCTCATATATATGATAAACAGGATATATCAGATATAACTCTGAACCTTCTCTGATCTGATACCTGTACAGGTGAGTTTGTGTAAAATCTGCAGTTTCTTGTTGTGACCACAAGAGGTCAGTAGCACCCCATAAATCTTTGTTGTTGAATTTAATAAACATGACAAAAAGCCTTAACACTTTTATTCCAGTTAGACTGCTCCCCCCCCCCTCCATCTTCTCCTCCTCCTTCTGTTTCTTACACAGGATGTAAAAGAAATGTACTAAATAAAAAACGACTTCAAAATAAAGTAAGGAACGATGAAGGACTCACAGGTTCTTTTTAATGAGATTTCCAACAACACAAATCTTGGCAGTTATGACACATAAACACTTTCTTTCATAATGACTTGTAATAATAATAATAATAATAATAATAATAATAATAATAATAATATGTGATATTAAATATATGATTTAATATGGTTTATCCACATGTTTATAAATACTTAAATTATTCTCTGACACATGCTTTAAAATATGTTTGTAATTCTATTATTTCACTTTTAAAATATAAACTGTTGGATTTTATTTTGACTGTTTGTACTGTCTTAAGCTGAGAGTACTTCCTGTCTGCTTTTATTTTGGATTTGGTTGCACTAATGTCCACTCTGGGATTTTTCTATGGAAAGTGGCTATGTTCGGGTTATTGCACTGACCGTGGTAACATTGGGATTTACGGGATAGAATTTGGCAAAAACTGGGATTTTTACGTTGGATAACAGGAGTCCAACTCATAAATGTGAATGTAACCAAATGTATATGTGCAGGTTGGACAGCATGGCAGAGTTTTCCTGCAACTTTTGGTAACAAAAACAATAAATCCCCCGATATCGTGTCGTGGACTTTTATATTTGTTGCTGTGAAATCGTTTGATTTTTTAGTTTAAACTCTGGTTTCATGAGGCTGGCCACCTGGAGTCAGCAGGATCATAAATACTGATCCTGTTCCGTCATGAAATGCAAAACGTCTACAAAGTTAACCCTTTGTTTACCGGCTCCGACACGCAGCAGTTAGTGAAGTTATAAAAACTAACATTAGAGCTCGTCGCACACTGATGACGTACGCAGGCGCAACAAACTGACCGTTAAAAAAAAAAAAGAGCTATGGCTGCAGAAAAGTGTAACTACATGAAGAAGTCCTGTTGTTCAGTTTCTAAACGACACCTGAAGCTAGCTGCACAGGCCTCATGCTACAGGCTGCTGATTGGCTCTTAATGATGACTCATAAACAGTAGGCGGGTTCTTTAGCAGACATCAGGACGAGCTGTTGGAGGGTCTGTCCCACGCCACCTGGTTCCTCAGCGGGAAGCTCGCCGCCTGGTTTGGAGCGAGCCCGGTCTCTGTGTCCTCGGAAAGATGATCCCAGGTCACAACGTCAGCACGGGTCGAGTTGATGGTCGCTGGGTGTGTGTTGACATTCGGTGGGTGTGTGTTGGTGGTCGCTGGGTGTGTGTTGACATTCGGTGGGTGTGTGTTGGTGGTCGCTGGGTGTGTGTTGACATTCGGTGGGTGTGTGTTGGTGGTCGCTGGGTGTGTGTTGACGGTCTGAGACGTAGACAGATCTGGTTCTTTGCACATCGTGTTCTCACAGCATGTGCTGCTGCCGTTACAGTCCGGATCCTTGGCGCCATTCATCTCGTTTGACTCGCCGAGGTTGAAGAAGGCGTTGTTCTCTCCGATGCCCAGTCCAAAGCTCTCTAACATGTCCATCACTGAGGGCGTGGTCGGCCCGCTCAGGGTCTCCTCTTCAATGAGACTCAACGTGGGCAGAATGTCGACCAGCTCGGCCATCTCCATCGGTCGGATCACCTCCGTGATGCTGGGAGGAAAGACGTCGTCCTCGCTGAACGACACCTGAGTCTCCAAAACCGTGTAGCCCACGTCTAACTGAGCGACAGCAGCAGGCTCGAGGCCGGACTCGATCAACGCACTTGCGCAGCCTAACTCGGACTGCCCGATGCTCGTCAGGTCGACGGTGGACTGAGCGGCGATGTCTACAGGATACCCCCCCTTTGCAACGCCCTCCAGCACCAGCGCCGACTCTTCAGGGACCCCCGTGATTCCTGTGGGGGCGGAGACCTCAGTGGTGACGACATTAGGGGGAGTACTGCTGACTGAACACTCTGAAATAGAAGAAATGAATTCACTGAACAAAAATATAAACTCAACAGCTTTTGTTCAAATCCAAGAAGACTTTCTCTGTTCAAAAACAAAACAGTGTCCCTCTGCACCTTTAAGAAAAAGCTAAAGAGCCAGCTCTTTCATGAATACCTACTAACTTAATGATGATGGTCTCCATATTATTGATGATGATGATGGTAATGACGATGGTTTTTGTTTGATAACGATGACTTATAAGATGGTTTCTATACTGATTAGAGCTCTCAAGAACTGCCCTCAATGTTGTGCTTTGCCTCTGGTCACTTCCTGTCAGCACCTGTGTGTCCAATCAGACTCAAAGCTGATCGTTTGCTCTTACTCACATTGTTCCCTTTTTTCTAGATCCTTGCTTGTGTTGTTCTTACTCTCTGATGTACGTCGCTTTGGATAAAAGAGTCTGATAAGTGAATTGTAGAAATGTAAACAGTGAGTCATATAAACGGCTGTTCTACCCCCTCATCATCGTACCTGAAACAGCTCTCTGTGCCGGAGTCCGATGAGGCCACGTCAGTCTGGCAGTCAAACTGTCCTCCTCCTCCTCGCCATCAGGTCGAGCAGGCGGGTCTCCTCCCATCACCAGGCCCAGAGGCACCGCCCCCACCCACTGCCTGGACCGCACGCACTGCAGACAGTCCATAATCCAGCGGGCGTCCCTCCACAGAGCGTCCAAACGCTGCAGATACAGAAGTGGACGCGGTCAACCCAGCGTGGTCGTGATGTCAGAGTTTGAAACCACGGCAACAAAAACAGAGAGGTCGTGTTTATGGGGTGAGAATGTGACAGGTTGGGATTCATGTGTTGGACTTTGGCAACTGGAAATGATGCGTTTGATGTTGGCAATGTTTGGAGTTGTCATTGACATCTGGATTCATTGTTGCAACATCTGGATTCATTGTTGCAACATCTGGATTCATTGTTGCAACATCTGGATTCATTGTTGCAACATCTGGATTCATGCATCAGATTTTGTCAACATTGGGACTCATGTTCTGGACATTAGCAGCGGTGGATTTGATGTATTGAACGTTGGTGATGTTTGTTTTGGATTCATGTGTTGATGTTGGGAATGTTTGTGTTTTGGATGTTTGGATGTTTTTCGAGCAGCTGCTGCAGACTCTGTCCCCCCCGCCCCGTGTCGTCTTACCTGGGTGAACTCTGTAACGTGGTTGAGGCGCTCTCGGGCCTCCTGCACCTCCTTGGTGTCCAGCGCCTCCCTTAGAGCCTGCTGGGCGAGGTGTGTGTCGAGCTCCAGCCGGACCCACGCCTGACAGTACTGAGTGACAAAGTCCCGCTCGTACGTCCAGAAGTGAACTGGAGAGAGAGACAGACTCAGAACACTTTCTCACAATCAGAGAGTTGTGTCTTCAGGACGTGTGCACCCACCCAGCTCAAAGATCTGCAGAGGCATGGTGAGCCCGGTCTCTTTGGTCCCCAGCAGAGGCCAGTAACTGGAGCTGAAGTCCTCACTGGGAGGAAGCAGCAGCAGCATGGACACTTTGTCTCCAAACTGAAGCAGCTCCCGAGTATACACTCCATACTGATAGGCCTGTTACACACACACACACACACACACACACACACACACACACACACACACACACACACAGAGAGAGACACAGAGACACAGAGACACACACACACACACAGAGAGAGACACAGAGACACACACACACACACACACAGAGACACAGAGACACACACACACACACAGAGAGAGACACAGAGACACACACACACACACACACACACACACACACACACACAGAGACACAGAGACACATACACACACACACACACACACACACACACAGAGACACAGAGACACATACACACACACACAGAGACACAGACACATACACACACACACACACACACACACACACACACACACACACACACACACACACACACACACACACACACACACACACACACACACACACACACACACACACACGTAAAAAGACATGAATACATGTTATATAAAAAGTCTGGAGGCGGGGCTTAAAGCAGGCTGTTTGACCAGTGTTACCCTGTAGAGGGGGATGTTGAGCTTGGTCAGCAGATGTGCGACGGCAGCTCTCAGAGACATGATAAACTCGGCCAACACGCCACTCTCCTTGGAGCCCTCGTCCTCGCCGCTCTGCAGGTTCTGAGCGCTGTCATTGGTTGTTGTGTAAACATGACTCTGAAGCCACTCCCACTCCTCTCTGTCACACAGTGAACAAAGCTGTAAAAAGCTGAACATGCACAGGCAGACGTTGGTCTGTAGATGAATGTTTACAAACATTTCTACTGACTCCGCCTCTGATGACCTCGGTTACCTGGACACGTGGGCGTTGTGTCGGACTCGTGTGTGGCACAGCAGGTTGGGTAACCTCCGCGGCACCAGGACTCGGATCTGCTCCACTGAGCTGCACAGTTTGAGGATGCCCACGTACAGGCCGGGCTGAGCCCACTGAGTGCTGTGACGGTGGAGGGACAGTTTCTCCTGGCGAGCAGAGGGAGAACGCCGCTGAGTTCAGAACTTACTCTCTCTCTCTTTTTGAACAATCAGAAAGCCGGGCTCACCTTCAGCTGCTCGTACAGCTGGTCCATGGCGGTGGGCTCGGGCAGCAGGGGAGTTCTGCTGCGGTTCTTTTCCAGACGGGCCAGAGGTAACCAGTGCAGCGGGGGGTCAGGGGGGCTGAAAGGAGACGAGACGGGAACACAAATGAAAGAGACGCTCGGATTTCAGCCTTGATGGAAGCAGCTTTGTGCACGTTAGCTTGATGTCGGGTTATAAACACGTCTGTGAGCAGCCGCGAGGTGAGACTTTAGTCACCTGGGAGGGTGGGGGAACTCCCTCAGAGTCACCAGTAAGATGTTTCCCTGCCGGTCTTTCAGGGGTTCGTAGTAGACCTGGCCCAGGTCCATCGTTCCCAGAGAAGACTGAGAGGCGGAGACAGGATGGAAAACACAATTTAAACCCATTCGGGTTCCTCTTCTCGTGCAGAGTAAGCTTCTTTTTCCTTTTTGTATTCAACATTTGTATTGGTTTTTAAACATGGAATCACAAAAAAAATCAAATTTCCCAGATCGTACA